AAAATCCCAAATTAAAAAAAAATGAAAGCTCTGATCTTTGCGACGACACTTAAATTCCGGAAAATGACCCATTGCATCAATAAGACAAAGCCTGTTTGGAGATGCCAAAATATTTTAGACACCAGAACATCACTCAATTTCAACTTTTTTGGTGTTTACCCCACCCCACCATACCTCTATCCCTAAAGAAGAGAGGGAGGAACACCATTGAAGGTGGCAGAGGAGAGAAGGCTGGGCAACAATTGAAGAGCTTTTGATTTTTTGTTTATTCAATTACTATATGTAGGTGGCATTGCTAACGCCATGGTGTCGGACCAAGAAACCAACAACCCATTTCCCTTAAGATTTTGCACCCATCGGGATCAAATTTTGTCAATCATGTTTCTCTTCCTCCCTTATGTTTCTTTCTCTACAAAATCAGAAATGAGGGTTCGAATTTATGGGTAACCCATTTATATGGGAGGGTAATTTGGTAATTGTAAATTTTAGGAAAATCCTATTTTTGTCCTATTGTTGTGCATAACATTTGCATGCTCTATGCATATTCAGAAAATCGTATTTTAGTCCTAAGATTAAGAAAATAGGTCATTTTTTGCAATTTCCTAAAATATGCAGGTAGGGTGCTTTCAGTTCTTTTCTTTTTTGTCAAACAAGATTACTTACATTAAAAACTAGAACAAGGCCCAAAAAAAGCTGGCAAAACAACAACAGATAAAGTAAAAGGCTCAAGCAAAAGATGAACAGCAACCCAAGATACAACTGGAGGCCTCACAAGCTTAGAACCGAAGGCAACAAAAACAAACAACAAAAAAACCGTCATCTGAACCAGGATAAACCAAACCGCTGCTGTCATCACATCCTCGGAGGAAGCCAAACTTCGAACCGAGAAAATAGACACGAATCCAAGTGCCCTTCACTAACCCCTGCAAATATATACAAACAAAATATCTTATGGATAGAAAGTAAGGTTAAGAGGTATGTAAAATATCCCTACTGTGGCAAATGCCACAAAACACTTGGCCTTTATGGGAATTCGGTATGCTAGTTGAAGGAAATAACGTGAGGGCAGGAAGTGGATCTGATATCCAATTTCTTATTGGAGACTGTAGATCCAAGCACAAGATGGTGTGAGGATGGAATATCACAACTAAGGAGAAGAGAGGACGGAAAAGTAAAAGACATAAAGCAATAAAAATAGGAGAAGAACTCCAGATAAGCGGCATGAAGCCGAAATCTGAGGCAAGCTCAGAGAAATTCAGATCAAGTTCAACAAAAACTGCAAAGAGGGAACGAAGAGGTCCCAATCTTGACAGACATCCAAAACCGAAACATGACGTCACCACATTTTTGTTCATCTATCATGTCTCGCCTTTGAGACAAAAGTAAAACACAATCAATGATTTTGCCACGCATTAACTTTCTTTTATTTTATGGCTGCATCTAACTTTCACCTTAGAATGCCTACGTAGCTTAAGTAGGGATCAAGCCATTCGTAGCTCACCTTTCATTCAACTCTGAACTTTTCTTAATACACTTCCTAGTAGAAAACATAGGCTACCACACTGCATAACAACCATATACCAACCACGATTTGTTATTTCATCGTTCACAAATGTCACATGCAATCCAACACCATTCCACAATCATAGATGCATGGTATTAACATTTAACTACATTAATCAATCAACAAGATCACATATCATTTCATGAAATTTAATAAAGGAACTCTACCTGATTCTCTACTTGGATTCCAAGTAATAACATGGTAAATCAATTTATAAACACAATGCCTACTGTGAGCAATTCTCATTCACTCGATCTAAGGTTTCAAACTAACTTTTTGGAAATGAACAAGAGTAGGGATTCCGGACCACTCAATGGAATCCAACTAAAATATGGTTGCCTATCGAAATGTACCAAGTACAACTAGCCCAAGGTAGGCAGTGATCACCCATCACAGATATGTCAAGTATGATTACCCCTAGAATACGTATGATCCCTTATTTCAGATATACCAAGCAGAACTATATGCATAGTCTAATCGTGTAGGCAGTGATCACTCATTATGGACATACCAAGCATGATCACCCTTGAAATATGTACCTTTATCGCAGATATACTAAGAAGGAACATATCCTAACTCTAGGTAGTGATCATCCATCGCTGATATACCAACTATGATAACTTTTAGAATGCATATGGTCCCCTATTGTAGACAAACCAAGCAGAACCATAAGCATAGTCTAATAATGTAGGCAGTGATCACCCATCGCGTATATACCAAGCATGATCATGCCTAACATACGTACAGTCCCCTATCACAGATCTACCAAACAAAACCGTATCTTATAGCTCTAGGTGGTGATCACCTATCGTAGATATACCAAGCATGATCACTCCTAGAATGCGTATGGTCCCCTATTGCAGATATACCAGGAAGAACCATAAGCATAGTCTAATCATGTAGGCAGTGATCACCCATCACAGATATACTAAGCATGATCACCCCTAAAACACGTATCCCATCGTGGATATACCAAGCATGACAACTAGTACCTCAACCCCTACCTCAACCGCTACATGGTGCAGTTAGATCAACACGTAACTTACCCCTACCTCAACCCCTATGATTTACAATGTAAGCACATGCCACTAGTACAAAAACATGTTTGTGTAACGCAACAAATTTCGTCACGCAAAGTATGTTTGTGTGACGTTTTGTGCATCGCGCAAGATTTTGGTGCCAAACCAAGAATGCTTTACCACTTTTTTCCCAACTTTGCGTGACGCAGGGTGCACCTACGTCGCGCAAACTGTTTTGAAACTTTGGTATTCTTCCATTTTTTATATATGATTGTATTGAAATTTTGGTTAATATTACCCAATATATTGAAAATTTTGATCTTTTTTGTTTGTTTGTGAATGACTAATTACCTGTTGGGATCAAAATATGCAGAAATTAAATCCATGATTAATGTAGTGATAGATGTGTTCATTCTTTATTCTATGAAAATTGGGGCTTGTCAAGTGTTTCAATTTCTTAATGTGAGTTAGAAGGTTATTCATGATTCAAAAAATGTGAAAAACTTTGGAGAATTTTAGTTGGAATTTTAGTTGTGAAAAACTTTGTACAATGCATATCCCATCAAAATGATAGATTCCCTAACACTTAGAGTTTATTTATACTTTCATCAAGTATAACATAAGATTTTGTGGTATCCACTTGTGTAAATATCTTAAATTGTCAATCGAATCAGTTCATTGTATTCATATAGGATCAAGGAATGTAGCTGTAAAAAATCATCAAAATCGGAGTTAAAATAACTGTTAAACCGTGATTATTCGTTTATAACCGTCGAAAAGCTTTGTCCCGTTACTTGATCACTGAATGTTTGTTTTTTGGGATTTTTGGCGTATGCGATCTTGAAATATATACAAATAAGTTTGACGGTTGGATCGTTGAAACTAATTTCGTACAATGCGTTTCCTATCAAGTATAATGGTATATATATATATATATTTACTAAGTAGATTTTAATTTATTTATTTGTACTCATAAGCAAAAGGGAAAAGAAAACTTTGCACGACGTAGGTACACATGTGTCGCACAAAGTTGTTTTGCGCGACGCGGGTGTACCTACGTCGCACGAAGTTTTTTTTTTTTCCTTTTGCTTTTTTTTTTTTTTGGGTTCTTGCATTGCCTTTTTCTTTTGTGGTATCCACTTGTGTAAATATTTTAAATTGACGATCAAATTAATTAGTTTATTGTATTCATATAGGGTTAAAGAGTGTAGTTGTAAAAAATCATTAAAATTGGAGTTAAAATAACTGTTAAATTGTGATTTTTCGTTTATAGCCGTCGAAAAGGTTTGTCCTATTACTTGATATCTGAATGTTTGTTTTTTGCAATTTTTGTCGTATGCGATCTCAAAGCATATACAAATAAGTTTGATGGTTGGATCGTTAAAACTAGTTTCGTACAATGTGTTTCCCATCAAAACGATAGATTCACTAACACTTAGAGTTTATTTATACTTTCATTAAGTAAAACATAAGATTTTGTGGTATCCACTTGTGTAAATATTTTAAATTGACGATCGAATTAGTTTATTGTATTCATATAGGATCAAGGAGTGTAGCTGTAAAAAAAATCATCAAAATCGGAGTTAAAATAACTGTTAAATTGTGATTTTTTGTTTATAGTCGTCGAAAAGGTTTGTCCCGTTACTTGATATCTGAATGTTTATTTTTTGCGATTTTTGGCGTATGCGATCTCGAAGCATATAAAAATAAGTTTGACGGTTGGATTGTTGAAACTAGTTTCGTACAATGCGTTCCCATCAAAATGATAGATTCACTAACACTTATAGTTTATTTATACTTTCATTAAGTAAAACATAAGATTTTGTGATATCCACTTGTGTAAATATTTTAAATTGAGGATCGAATTAGTTCATTGTATTCATATAGGATCCAGGAGTGTAGCTGTTAAAAATCATCAAAATCAGAGTTAAAACTACCGTTAAATCGTGCTTTTTTCATTTATAACCGTCAAAAAGTTTTGTTTGGTTACTTGATTCCTACATGTTTTTTTTCTGTGAGTTTTGACGTATGCTATCTCGAAGCATATACAAATAAGTTTGACGGTTGGATCTTTGAAACTAGTTTCGTACAATGCGTTTTCCATCAAGTTCAATGGTATATATATTTACTAAGTAGATTTTAATTTATTTATTTTATACTTATAACACTTAAGAAATTGAATGATATATGTGTAACAAAAATTATTGTGGGTTTTTGTTAGAAAAATATATTATTGTGGGGTTTATGTAAAAAAAAAAATTGAATTTGAAAGGAGGAAAGTTACATTTTCAGTAATTTTTATAATAATTAAAAAAAAAAAAACCTTGCACGACGCCTTAATGTGATCGTCGTACAAAACTACTTTGCACGACGTTAAATTGTATACCTACATCGCGCCAGTTGTGATAATTTTGGCTATGCAATAGTGAAAAATAGGCATTTTTTTTGCAATTTTCCAAGTTTGGACCCAACTCTTTCTTTCCCGTAGACCTCTCTCTTATCCGTGAAACCCAAATCTTGAACCCATACCTCTCTTTCCTCTTCACGATCTCGAATCCAACCACCACCACTACTCTATCGGTTGTCTCTCTCCCTCTCGTTCTAAGCGGCGGGCCGCCACACGAATCTCGAAGCCGACGTGAATCAAGTCCTAAAATCAAGGTAAGGGTTTCTGATTTTCGTTGGGTTTTTATTATTTAGGGTTTAGGCTAAAATCAAGGTTGATTTCTGAGTACTTTGTCGAAATCTCCAAATAAAATTGGATGTTGGTTCTGGTTTAGGGTCAAATTGCTTTTTTTCGTGATGTGATTCAAGTTGATTGTCTGAAGTTTTTGCAATTTTGTTGATCTGTATGTGTGTTTTGTGTATGAACATGGAGGTGTTCTTGCTGGACTAGTGAGGAAGGAAGGTTTAGGTGATTGAGGAAATTGGATATTGATTAAAGTGAATCTTGTCTGCATGTTATTTGCTTAAATCGTATATTTTTTTTGTTTGAGGAAATTGAATATTTGGATGTGAATTGAGCATTGGATAGTGATCTGATATTGGTAGGGACGATAAGAGTAATGAAGTCCAACATGTGTTTCTGTACATTTGGTTTTCCTGTGTCTTTACTTCATGGCGCAAGAATATATTCACTTTTATCGTTTCAAAACCCTAGCTAATATGATTATAATTCCGGACCCATTTACCCTCTTGGCATTTTTTCAAATATGGTAAGAGTGATTGGCTGGCTGTAGAATATTAGGTTGTATGTTGAATAATTTGTTCATGGTTTATGTCGTTGTCTATTGGCAATTCATGTTAGGAAAAAGAAAAACACAGAGGTCTGTCATTTCACTATCTCTTCCAAGAGTACATAAGTTTATTCTATCATCAATTCCATGAGCGTGAGATGAAGGATTTAGCTTGCAAATAGCAACTTTAACTTGTTTTTCCTGAAAGGGTAAATGATGAAATTTAACAAAAGCTATTACTTCATAATGCTGCAATTATTTCTTTGTAATGGCTCATGGATACGCAAAAGTAACTTTAATTTCCTCATGTCAGTTTTATTTTATTATTATTTTTATATATATGTTATTTCTTTTTCAAGTATTGTATTGAAAGGGTTTACCTTTCCTACTTAACACTCTCCAATTATAATGCGGAACGGGAAGATTCATTCCTACTTATATGTCAATCACAATTGTTGTATTTTTTCACGGCAGTTTGATTAGATGCTAACAATTTAATCTCACCATAGACCAGAAGGAAAATACTTTGCTTTCATCCCCAAAGGTCCACTGCTGCATGTTACTGCAGGCAGTGTGTACTTTTTGTTTTTCCCAAAATTCCAAAGCAAACAGGGCCTGGTTTATTTGTTCAGTTTTCTTTTCTTTTTTCTTCTAGTTTCAAATGCAAGAAAGGATCAGTTTTCTTTGCCGTGTTGGTTTCTGTTTGTTTTTTTGCAAGTCATATGCTGATGCTTGAATTTTGATGAGAAAACCAGTAATCGGATGTGGATTTTGATTAAAGTGAATCTTGTCTGCCGGTTATTTGCTTAAATCGTATATTTTTTTTGTTTGATGAAATTGGATATTTGGATGTGAATTGAGCATTGGATGGTGATCTGATATTGGTAGGGATGATAAGAGTAATGAAGTCCAACATGTGTTTCTGTACATTTGGTTTTCCTGTGTCTTTACTTCATGGCGCAAGAATATATTCACTTTTATCGTTTCAAAACCCTAGCTAATGTGATTATAATTCCGGACCCATTTTCCCTCTTGGCATTTTTTCAAATATGGTAAGAGTGATTGGAGATGTAAATGCTTGCAGATGGAAGGATAGGATGGTAAGAGTGATTGGCCGGCTGTAGAATATTAGGTTGTACGTTGAATAATTTGTTCATGGTTTATGTCGTGTCTGTTGGCAATTCATGTTAGCAAAAAGAAAAACACAAAGGTCTGTCATTTCACTATCTCTTCCAAGAGTACGTAAGCTTATTCTATCATCAATTCTGTGAGCGTGAGATGAAGGATTTAGCTTGCAAATAGCATGATCAAATTTAGCAAAAGTTATTACTTCATAATGCTGCTATTATTTCTTTGTAATGGCTCATGGATATGCAAAAGTAACTTTAATTTCCTCATGTCTGTTTGCAAAGGATTATGGATTTGGTAATTTGTTTTCTTTAGTCGTTTTGATTAGTAATTGTTGTGATTAAACACACTAAGCCTGGGAGATCAAATTATACGCAGTAAAAAAAACAGTCCATCGTGCTGCCTTCGATTAGTAATTGTTGTGATCAAGCACACTAAGCCTGGGGGATCAAATTATAGAAAGTTGGGTTGGGGGTTTGACAGATTAGGATAGGTCTCTTGGTTTAGGTTTGACTCTTTTTAATCAATCGTAGTGCTGCCTTGGATTCATTACACTTTTTAATCTTCGGTTAATGTTTGTTCAGTTTTCTTTGCTTTTTTCTTCTAGTTTCAAATGCAATTAAGGTCAGTTTTCTTTGCCGTGTTGGTTTCCGTTTGTTCTCTTTCAGCATCTTTCCATCCTTCATATGCACGAAAAAGAGCCATATGATCACTGTAATCTTTTGCAGAGAATCTAGATTTTGCTGTCCCTGCTAACTGTATGAAACAAGGTGCGAGAGAGAAAGATAGAGCACACAGTATGGGGTCATTTAGGTACAATGTGAAAGGGAGAGTAACAGACCAGCAAACTAGCATATTCAAATGGGAGTTCATTGATTGCAATAGACTAATAATATTTGCGATAAATAGCTCCGTAAACTAGACCTTATTTGCCCTTTTTTTTACAGTGTTACAGAGCGGATTGGCCAAACTAAGAATTACATTTTCATTTGTTTTCAACATGGACTGAATTAGAATATTACATTCCTTTACCAGTTAATTCAACCATCTTTTTTTTAAGCATCTATGTGTGCATTTATTTACGAATTTTGGTTAAAATTTAACATGCATCACACTACTTTGATCAGAAGTTGGGTCGTCGTCATGGCAAGGTTGTTCGGTGAATGTGGAAGGCGGGGGTTCGTGAGACGGGTGCCTCCTCTTCCAGATCGTCCACAAGAGAGGTCAATGCCATGAAGGAGGAAGTGACAACCCTAAAAGGTCAACTTGCGGCCCAGGACGAGCACATTAGGGCTCAGGACGAGAGAATGAGTATGATTGTACAAGCCTTAGCGATGTTCGGCCTCCAAATCCCGATGCCAGCACCTGATCTTGCTCCACCTTCGACTTCCCAGCCACTTCGTCCAGCCGATACCCAGTAGCATGATGTATTAAACCTAGAAGACTTGTAGTTTTTTCTTTTTTGTTCAGACATCTTGTATGTACATTTTCATATATTTTATAATTAAATACTTTTTCTTGGTTTATTAATTATTGTTTATAATTTAATTACAATATCTATTAAAAATTAAATAAAAAATTCTTTGCAAAAAAAAAAGGGTTTGAGCGACAAAGAAGTGACCTAGTGACCTACGTCACGCAAAGTACTTTTGCGCGATGCTAGTCACTTCTTCGTCGCGCAAACCCTGCTTTCACTGCCTTGGCGCGATGGTGGGTGCGTGATGAAGGTTCGTTGGGTTAATTTTTGCGCGACGTTTTTTTACTTTGTGCGACGAAGGACCTACGTCACGCAAAGTCTTTTTTGTACTAGTGTCCAATATCAACTTCTTATGACCACTAACTATTTTGTCATACAAGCATATAAGTTCTACGTAATACTTCTAACAAGATTCCATGTTTGCATTTTTAAACTATAATCATACATTTCATTTGTATCATTTAGAAGTTCTATACATGTATATCACAATAAGGTGACATTTGCACATAAATCGAGATACACGTCAACTAGAAAAGACATGCCATCGTGATGAGCCAATTAAGCTCCATGAAACCTCAACAACATTCTAAAATAAACGAAAAGCTAGAATAACTCGGGGCTAGTTGACTAAAAAGTCAACTGTCGATCATAGGTAAACGGTAGGGTCCACAATCTTAGTAGTCAAATCTAGAAGATCCACCCACCAGATTTCTAATCCATAAGTTCCTAAGGTTTTCAAATATTACGTACAATAACATACTATAGTTTAGTGACGATCCAACGATCGGATTGTCATTCACTAAAATGATCAAGTGGCAGACCTTAATGAAGTTAGGTTTAAACGAAAAAATTTCACTAATTGGGTGTCAAGTATGGAACCGAGGTATCAAATTTAGAAAGACAAAGTGGGTCATTAGGCCACGCGTCGCCGCACGCAACAGCCAACGACCTTGATTCACCAGAAAATTCTCCTAACTCCAAATTTTCTCAAATTATACCAAAATTAAGATCATGAGATGAGGAGTAAATTTTATACCTATGACAAAACCCAATTTGACCGAGAAGTGGCCTGAAATCATTCTAGACCGTCGAAAGCCCAAAAATGGGTAAACTTCGATTCGTTTTCTCTAGTGCTTCGCTGACCCCAAACTGGTTTGGGACATGTTCCTGAGCTCAAAAGAAGTCTTTGGATGGTGGTGGTCGAAGGGAACTCTTGTAGGATCGACGGGTTGCCGATAGGGACTCTCGAAACTGACAAGTTCATTCGTCGCAAAACGAGAACCAAAACTCGTCAAACTTGGGTGGGAATATAAGGTATAAGGTTGGTGAGTCATGTGGTGGTGATGGGTGGTTTCATCTCACCAGAAAACTGACGAAAATGGCATCAGAAATTTCACCATGAACTGGGTCGAAGTCGGGTTTCAAGCAAGGAAATGGGTCGATAGGTAAACCGGGTTAGCTGGGTTCTGATGAGTAGATTTTATATTATATATTTAACCATATTATTAGTATATTTTGGCTATTATTTTGGAAGAAATTTGATACTTTGAATTGTATTTTCAATATAGGACTTTCGAAATCCTCTGCGCTTAGCTTGATCATGTCAAAATATCGGAGTTTTCCACCAAGCGATTATTTTTTGGCAATAGAATGAAGGAGCAATGCGTGGTGTTGGAAAGTGACGTTTCTGGGCTTGAATAGCGTTTTTGGAACTCAAGATGACCTCTGATGGGTTCGTGGCCTTCTGGATATGTGTTCAGAACATTCTTATCTTTAAAACAAGCTATTATGGGCCGGATTTGAAGGATATTTGAGGCTAAAATGTGGCTGTACAGTTTCCTTACAGATTATCCTAACTTAATTAGGATTTTATTTTCCAAGATATTTTATTATCATTTGGTTTCCTAGTTGGAACGAAAGACTTTCAATTAGGGTTTATGCGATAACTGTAGGTTATTTAAGGCTTGGCCGGCCTTAGCTTTTCTATCTTCTCTTTTATGCGACTTTGGAGATAGGAAATTGGCTAGGGTTCTTGAAGAATTTCAGACTTTTACTTTAATGTGTTTTCATTCTTTTTCTTCATAATAATATTTTCTAGGATTTTAATTATGAATATGTGTAACTAATTCGTTTTGCTAGGGCAAAGCCTTGAACCTTAGCATGAATATGTAATTTTTTTTTTTAATTGCTTATGATTGATTGCATGCAACTATCTAATTATCTTAATGCTTGATCAGCATTATAGGATCTTTAGAAAAGTAATTGATGCAATTTTGGTCGGAAGGTTCCCTGAAATTGATGTTGGCTTCTTGTGGTTAATAATTGTAATTTCACTTAAGATGAGCACCACGTCTTAAGGGTTGCATGGTTTTTCAAAGGGTTTTTACAAAACATAATGAGTCTCTCATGCCTATATTTGATCCGAATGTCCAGACGAATTGCATATTAGGTATACGTTCTATGTTGGAGGTTCCAAGTAGAATATATATTAGGAAAACCTAACCTTGAAAGTGACATGTGTATATCATAAGTAATTGGTAAAAATACATAGGATTGCTAGGTGATGACAGAACCCTAGTGCTTTTATAAATTGGTATTTTAAAACTATTTTCTTTTATCGGATTAATTTTGGACGAATTTACTATTTGTTTTTACTTAAAATCTCTTTTCTCAATTTTTAGTTTAAGTAGTTAATTAGGAATTGTTTTTACATAAATTATCCAAATAATCCTTGTGGAGAACAACCTTACATGAGCATCTATACTACAACATCCTTATACACTTGCAAGTATTTTGTGTGATTTTAACCTTCTTTCGTAGGTGAGAAAAATCCTATCAGTCTCCCTTTCCATGATTGGCTGCTACTCTCTCTCTCTTGGCTTGTTGGTCCCTGCTCTCCCTCTCATTTTTCTATTTGAGCATCTGCCCCCTCTCCTCCTTCCTCATTGGTCCCCCCTGCCACCTTAAGGGAAACTCTCCCTCTCTCCAAAAACCATATATTTTACCATTTAAGTAGAAGTATAACGTCTGTAACTTTTCCATTCGCTTCGATTCGCAAACGGCTTGTGCTTACGCGCTCATGGGATTGAGCTCTATTCGAAAACATTAATTTTAACCTCGAACTTATGGATTTTAAATGATTGTTTTTGAAATTTCAAACTTTGCAACTAAGTAATTAAAATTTTAAAATTAATTAAATTAAATTAAATTAGTGAAAAAATATATATATAATCCTGCGAATACGAAATACGTAAATTACAATAGTGAAATCCAGGAACGGGATTTCACAAGGTGGGAAAATGAGATGGGAGGGAAAAAGGGAGGGTGTAGCGTGTTGTGAGGAGAGAAGGAAGAGATGGGGGTTGCTGTAAGAGGGAAATGGGAGAGGAGATGAGAGGGAAAGAGGGAGGGTGTAGCAGGCTGCAAAGAGGGAAGGAGGAGAGGGAGGTTGCCATTGACACCTAAGCTAAAGGCTAAGGCCGGCGGCAAAAGAGCTTTTGGGTTTGTGTTTCAGCACATAGAGTTTTTTTTTTTTTCTACGCGTTTTCTCAGTTCAAAGTTAAAAGTGTCTGCACGGAGAATTTTTTTAAGTGTGACCCGAATAAGGGCTGGTATACCACATGTCATTATATAAGTTGGGGGAAGTTTAATTTTCAAATGTCTTTCCACTTGTATAATGACATTTAGTGTATCATCCCGTGTTTCGAACACTTTGAAAATCTCTATTCTACGGGTTAAAAAAGCAGAAATGAGTTTTAAAGTAGTATTTTCAAAAGAACACTTATTATACACGTTGAAATTTTTATTAAACAGTGCTTCTTGACATGCACTTCAAATGACCCGGAATCATTTGTAAGTTTTCTGCCACACCCGAATTAGATGACAAAATTAGCATTATTGGTTCTTCAGACTTCATTATTTGTACTTTTAGTTGCATAATTTTCGGATCTTGTAAGTCTTTAGTGGACAATTTTGTAGTGCAAAAATAGGAGCCACACACAGCAACCAGAGTGCTGACCACAACCAAAGTGCTGGCTGATGACCAACTTTTACTTCCGTATTCATTTCTGGCACGGTCGTTGCTATTACTGCCACCACCGCGATAGGGCTTAGACTTAATGTTTTTGACGTGCAGAGGAATTGAGTTCTATTTTATGTTTTCTCCAACCATTTCTTAATTCTCCTTTTAATTCAACAGTCACACCACTATGTACCATTACTCGTTACAACATGAGTGGATTGATAATACCATGTCACAATGTGAGTTACACTAAAAACTTCTCCGTGTCAAAAAAACCGTGAAAAAAGGAAATTTGGGAGTCAATTTTCTTCGAACATTGAGCAGAATTGCCACGATACCACAAAAAGTGATTATATGTTACACGAAAGTGGCAATAAGCATCCTATTTCTAGTGTAAAACCGGGCTTTGGGCTCAGATAAGGGCCTCTTGTGTGCTAGCATGTCTTCATAGTTCATCTAATTAGACAAGATGAGTAATTGACGCTCGTATAGTTCTTCTAGCGCTTGCCCCTTGGTCTCCATCACTAGTTTTGCAATGAATACAACAGTTAAACCACAAATGGTCGTGAAGACGACTTTTTCGTGTTGAATGATACATTATAAGCCTGAATGCAGGACCAGTATTAACTAAAACTAACTTAACTATTGGTATGGAGAGCATTTTAGATGCACGTGACTTGTTCGTTGCTAAAGATGTGACCAATATTTCCAAGAGAAGAAAAAATACTTGTATGTGGATTGTTTGGATTTACCAGCATGCTAATAAACACCAAAACGGGAGCAAGCTCCTTCCACCGGTCAAGGTCCTGCCGTATAAAAAAGATGTACGTCAAAATATGAATTTGCAAATGAAGCAAGCAACAACACAAGCTGAGAAGTGTGGGAACAAGTTTTGGTAGAGACCTGAAAGAAAAAATGCCAAACCCACTAGAAAGGCACCAGAGCACATCCCAGTAAAACCACAAATGTTTGATGGCTTTACTGTGAACTTACTGATATCATAAAATAAACGTTCTTTCGCCATTCTCAATTTCTTACCACCAGAAGTGGCCGTCTTCCGGATTTATCTGCTAATAGCATACTCAATAAAACACCAGGTATATGTAAAACACGAAAGAAATATCTACTCATTGGAGATACGCATCAAACGAAACTATCTAATCGCTTGTGGAGTGATAGTTTTCAGACTCATGTACCCCAATAATTGCCAATGATATAGTCCCAATGCTACTTGAGAAACCTGTGTTGAAAGTTGTCCCACATCAGTGAGGGATAAGGTTTGTTATGTGCTTATATGATCTTGGGCTACTCTCCATATTGCCAATTGGTTTTATGGTGGAACCTCAATTTCATCATGGTATCAGAGTCAGGTTGTCCACGTGTGAAGCCCAACGGCCATACGTGCTCCACATCACCCAGTTGTTGTCCACGTGTAGGCTTGAAAATTCGTCATACGTGCGGTGGCATGTTGAGAGTTGTCCCACATCAGTGAGGGACAAGGTTTGCTATGTGCTTATATGATCTTGGACTAGTCCCCATATTGCCATTGATTTTATGGTGAAACCTCAATGTCATCAATCTGCCAGAAAATGGATACGAAATCATATTTTCTGCTATACAGCAAAATAAAAGCTTTCGATCCAGCATCAAATGCTGTATAGCAGAAAATATGATTTCCATAAAATGTTGCTGCACTGGACCCCCCAAATTGTTGTAGTACCTGTAAGTTTATGAGTATGAATTATGGAAGGAATCAGTTCTTGTGTTTAAGATTGATATGGAAAAGTCTTGGTCAAAAGCCTTAACTTATTTGGTTTCCTTGTGGAATAAGTTTTGTGAGATTCTGAATAATCCTTGTGGGATTAGAACTCGGTAATAGAACATGTTTGGGATTGATATGTTGTATCAATTGTGATGTTTGAATCCTAAGTCTATTCTGATAGGGAATGACAATAGGAGTGCTATAAAAGCTTATGCCACTGCTCTTGCAATATACGGTTATATAGAGTTCCAAGTCCTATTGTCTGGAAGAACCATTGAGATTTGTAAAAGAGGAGAAGGCAGTAAGCTGTGAAGTCGCAATGGCTTCTTCATCTGGTTCCAATTCTGCAGGTAAGTTCTCGAGCTTTTCTCATGTTTTTGTTCATCTATTGGTTAAGTGGAGTTGTGATTTAATTGGTTGTATCCATGTTCTTTAGATTGATGAACTGTTAGAGTTTATTCTTACAGTACCATCAATCCAGCTCCAACCTAATCCAGTTAAAATATCCGTAGAAAGGTAAGACACCTCATGAAAAGAAAAGGTAATGCAGTAAATGACTTGTTCAATCGTATTACCTTTGAAAAAGCTTACAATCAGTGAGTGAGCGTATCTTCGCTGAAACAAGTCCAGCATTCTTTCTGACTGCTGCTGAAAGATCATAGTATAATCCCGCCACGATATAATATTATGTCTTATTCTTTTTAAAAGCTAAAGAACATAATTTATCTCCAAAATAATTCCTCAAGTTCAGGATACCAAACAAATAACCTTTAAACGATAATATGAAGTTCGAATTTGGAAAGTTACCATGATATCAGCTGCTTCTTGAGATATATAAGAATTTTTCCTCTAAGACGTTGCAGAGCAGCGTAAAGGTCCTTTTATTTATCAATTTTAGCCTGCAAACTAGTGTACCGTAATTGATTCTACCTGTTAATGGGAGAGAACTTGATCATTTTATATATGTTTTATATGGATATGTTAGAAACTGATTTAAATTTGAAGAAGAACGAGACGGAGTTTGCATTAACCACGTACATACTTAACCCAATGCCAAATCCCAAAAACAGTCGTCCAAAATCCAGCCACCAAGCATTCTACCATCAAGCATTGAACTCAACTACTGATTGAAACCCAATAAGGGAAGAAAACAAAAGGCAGGCAGGAAAAAAGAGAGAAATAGAAAACAATACGTTGCATTCATCATATGTATATGGAGACAGGAAAGAGAAGAAACCTGTGCAAATGCTATACGCAGCCACCCTGCAGTACTGAATGTTTCGGACAGCCACATTGTCTGTTTCAAGATATCAACATGAAAAGAACGAAAAAAAAAATATAGTTAATATAAGTTTGAGCATCTGCACTAGGCCTAGGGACAATGGAAAATGCGAAAACTTGCACCTCTTAAGACCAATGAGATCCGCTGTTCTTACATTTACCAATTCACCAATCACTCCGCCGATTGTTAATATTGAACCAAAAACTGAGTACTGCACAAGGAGAAGAAAGTTTACCAAATGCAGAGGACTGAAAACCGAAGAGACTATAGCCTACTTGATACATATACAAAGGTGGCGAACATCTAAGTGCAATTTGCAATAATCAAGGTCAATCGGTTCACTCTTATCATCTACAAATGGAGTTGTAGTATATCTCAAGGTCTTAATGACACGTCCTGACCCTGATATTCCCCGAATACCAGAATAGACACGTGCTGGCCGACACCCGAGGGTGACGAAAGCCATTAATTGATACAAAAGCTAGGAATAAAAAATAAATACGGGTTATGAATTTAAAAAAAAAACAATGAATTAACAATTTAGGAACGTGTTCAGAGTATACAACTAAACCTAGTCACTAACAAGAATTAAGATAAGATTGAATGAACAAAGGAGTGGGTCCTACCCCGAGAGGACTCGGAGATGCCGCTGTGAAAGTACCTTGATGCCGGGATTGTATGCCTTGGACCAATCTTGTATATATACATAGTACAAAAACAGTTATGAACATACTAACCCCCACAGTTTATATAATGAAAACTACTAGCATAATAAGTGATAGCTTTTCTGAAAACTCTAGCATGCCATAAAACAATTCATATATCTATCTGCAAATCAATCTCAGAAAATCATATCAGAAATCGTATCAGGAAGCATAACACAAATTGTGCTGCTAGTGAGTGCACTGAATAATAATACTCCCGGCCCAATGCCTGCACCTCAGTCTCTGTGCCCGTAGCCAGAGATATCTCCCTCCCGGCCCAATGCCTGTCTCCGTGTCCCTCAGCCTTTCGCTAGGGATTATTTCTCCCGGCCTCAATGCCAACACCAGATCCTCGCCCCAGGCGGCATAGTGTTCACTAGGTACGCACAAAACATAATTCATCTCTAAAATACAACTTCGTAGCATAAATTCATCAATCCTCTATACTACGAAGAGGTGTTCGAAAGTCATTTGAAACACATTCTTAGCATCCTATCGTCATCGATCAGATAGTCTACCAGAATGAAGGTTCTATAGAAAATACAATATAATGAAAATAGTTCAAAATATATAGAATCAATTATAATTAAATCATCATGCTTCCTGTAAAGTATTTCTCAAATCAATAATTCTGCAAGGCATGCTATTAAATTATGCAATTCTATCAATAAAACATGTAATTTTCGAAGGTGGTCCACTCACAGATACTCCGAAGCAGCAGAATTGTGCGGAAAAAGATTAAGGAAGTCTCCACTAACAACTTCACCTAAGCACGAAAATGTACAATTTAATAAACTACCCAAAAGATAGAATTTTAGGAAATGGAAATGGGTTTTTGGGTTTGGGTAGGTTAGGAACAAGATGTGGTTTGGGCTTGAGCCCAAACCCATGCTTACACACACTGCACACACATACACAGCCCAAAAGTTTTACAAACAAGGCCGGGCTTTAAGCCCAACCCGTGTACACACACACTCCTGCACATGCATAGTATGCACATGCACACACACAAAACCACACACACTCACGGCCCACACATACACACCAGCACACTCACAAGCACTGCACACTTCACATACACACACACACACTCACTGTACATGGCCTGCATAATATACCTATCCCTGCAATATCAACCCGACTCTCTCACGGTACACACACACTGAGCACAGCAACTCATACATACATGTGCACACATTCACAGTACATACATATATATACACTCACAAACACGCATGTACATACATCCATACAACCCACACACATACGGACGTACACACACACACTTACACGGGCCTGCACTACATCACACACACACAGGGCATACTGCTGCATGCATGGCATGCAGACACATACACACGCTACACTCAACAACACACATACACACACTGTCAAAAAGAACAACAGGTAAATAATTACCTGGGTTCGAAATCAAAGGGGTCCGTGCACCCACAGCAACAAACTCGCCGGAGTTCGTCCTTCTTCTCTTGCCGAAAACTGGAAAATAAAGATTGAGGTGCATGCAGGGGTTAGGACTTGAATAAGGGATTCAAACCTCCTCCCAGTTATCACAAAGACAAATAGGAAGAGATCAGATGCACTAAGATACCCACCAACTCAGAACTCGACGGCATTTTGCCGGAGTTCGTCGTCGGAATCGATTTCGATATACCAGTTTCGACAGAGGGTAAAACCCTCGAGTTTTTCACATGAAATCTTCATCAAAGATCAAAAATAGCAAGAATAACCCAGAAATTTGAAAGAAGAACACGAGTCTCACCTGGGTTCGAGTTTTTGAGCTTTGAAGTTCACGGCTTCAATGGCAGAACAACCTACCACACACCGATGTCACATGCAATGCTATGGTTGGGTTCCTTAAGCTTTAGGGATTAAGATTTCATAATTTGTTGGTTTGATTTGTCTACAATTTGAATAGGGAAAATGGTGAGAGCTCGCGGAGCTCTAGAGAGAGAGAGAGAAGAACAGAAAAAAAAAAAGGAGAGGTTCTGAGATTGGGAGTGTTTCGGGAAGAGAGGGAAGAAGGGAGAGATCTGAGAGCTGCCACATGGCAGTTTAAGAGAAACAACATTTCTAGATCAAAGGTTAGGATTAAAAGAGAATAAGGGACTAAAGTGATAGAAAACAAATATGTTCTAGGGGAAAAATAGAAATAGAATGGAAATATGGGGGTGTGGGGTTTAACACTTAAAATCGTATCTATTTACATTTTTCATGTGACTATTTCATCTTCGGTTAAATTGATGATATAGAATTTGTTCATAGGTTCTGCGAATAAACCATTTTTGCAACAAATTAACTAATTCTGCTTGTTGTTCAAGAATATAAAACAGCGATTAAGGAAAAACCGAAATTTTATGATATCACTTTTAATGTGTGTGATGCGAGTGTCACTTCCGATTACATAATTAGGTCCTATAATGCTCCAACATCACTTTAACATATCAAAAGATTATACAAACGTAGAAGAAAATTGCTATGATTTAACAAATATTATGGTGCTTTGAGAGAAAATTGATACACCGTGACAAACACGTGACACTTTGTACTCCACGAACATGTACCCCTTTCGGTATCACGTGACAAGCACGTGACATTTTGAAAATAAGAAGCGAAAAACTACGCTCTCTCTAGATCTGCGCCCGTCTCTTCACACGCACGGCGAATCCAAGCCGATGAAACAGAAAGATTCAAACTTTACCGAACCCTGATCGAATCTCCGCCATGGATTTCGTGGAACTGGAGGCGATCGAGGGCCTCCGATGGTCCTGGAATTCATGGCCGCCGTCAAAATCCGAGTGCGCCGCCCTCGTTATCCCTCTCAGCGTCATGTGCACGCCGTTGATGCAACAAGCCGAGCTGCCGATACTCCCCTACGACCCCGTCACTTGCCTCCGATGCCGCGCCGTTTTGAACCCCTACGCCCGCGTCGAGTACCCTTCTCGCATCTGGTTCTGCTCCTTCTGCCACCACAAGAACTCCTTCCCTCACTCTTACTCCAACATCGGCGAGACCAACCTCCCCGCCGAGCTTTTTCCGACTTACAGCGCCGTCGAGTACGCCAAAACCGCCCATGGAATTCCCAATTCTGGCTCAAATTCCCAGAATTGGGCAAATGGGTTGTCGTCATCGTCGTCCCTGTCGTCTATGGTGTCGTCGGCGGCAGCGTCATCGGTGTCGAATGGGGATTCGAGAGGGGTGAAGCCGGCGTTTGTGTTCGTTGTGGATGCTTGCACGCCTGGGGACGAGCTTGGGGCACTTAAAAATGAGCTCTTGCTTGTTGTGGAGAAGCTTCCGGAGACTGCTTTGGTGGGTCTGATCACGTTTGATTCGATGGTTCGTGTTCATGATCTCGGGTTTTCGGAGTGCTCGAGAGCCGTGGTGCTTCACGGCGAACGGGAGCTGTCGTCGCTTCAGGTAGATGGTTTCTTCTTTGCTTTCCATAATTTTTGGTGTGTTCAAGTGAAATATGTTGCATTCTTCGTGTTTTTTTACTTATTAGTAGCTATTTTGGATATCAGGGAGTTTCTTTAGGTAGTTTAGGAGAAATTTAACCATTTGAAGTTTAAAATTTTGTGTGTTGAAGTATGTCTTACGTTTTACGTGTTTATAATTATTGGCTATTCTTGGTAATGAAGTAGATACGTGTTACATAAATCTACGATCTTTGAGTTTAAATTTGCCATTATTTTGGTGTGTTGAAGTAGGAATGTGTCTCATTTTTCGTGTTTTTACTTATTAGCAAATTGTTGGTTATTAACGAGTTTCTGTAGGAAGTTTAGAAGACATTCAATTTGGAGTTTAAATTTTGAAGCAGTCCATTTGAATTTGATGGTCTGAACTCTGAAGTAGTAGTTTTATCACTTCATCCATTTTGATATTTGTGGAAATCTCAGTGCTTTTTGGGTCTTCTAGAAACTAGAATGCTCTCCCCCTTTAAGTATTAGTCTCCTAGTTTGCTCAGAGGTTGAAAGCAATCAAGTATTAGTCTCCTACTTATGCGCTTCATATTCCATAGAGAATGTTCTGTGCCTAATTTGAATTACTGAGTTTTCTCATTGAATGCATTTTAAGTTTTAACTCATCCTGTATGTAACTGGAATTTAATGCATTACATTTATATTTTGAACTCTTAGACCCAACAATTTCTAGGCATTAGGCGACCAATGCATCAGCAACTCGGAAAGATATCAGTTAATCAAAAGCAGGGCTTTTTGCTACCTGTTTCTGAATGTGAGTTCAACATCACAACTGCAATTGAAGAGATCCGTTGTTCAGTTCAAGTCAAGCCTGGTCATCGTCCGCAAAGGTGTACAGGAGCAGCAATATCAGCTGCACTTGGACTTCTGGAAGGATGTTCAGGGAGCACGGGTTCCAGGATCATGGTCTTCACATCTGGACCAGCAACTTTGGGCCCAGGAATAATCGTTGATTCCAATCTTAGCAAGTCCATCAGAAATCACCGAGACCTCATCAATGGTCATGCCCCTTACTATAGTAGATCTTGCAGCTTTTATAGGCAAGTGTCGCAGAGGTTAACTGATGCATCTATTGTTCTCGATTTGTTTGCTTGTTCTCTTGATCAATCTGGAGTTGCAGAGCTGAAGGTCCCTGTTGAGAAGTCAGGTGGTTTCATGATGCTAGGTGAGTCATTTGCGTCAAATCAATTCAGAAAATGTTTAAGCCACATTTTTACTCGTGATAAAGAAGGATATTTGAAGATGTATTTTGATGCAACCATTGAGATAGTAACCACTAGAGATATTAAAATCTCTGGAGCCCTAGGTCCTTGTGTATCTCTTCGGGAAGTCAACGATTTAGTGAGTAGCAGTGAGATTGGGGAGGGCGGTACCTATATGTGGAAGTTGGGTACAATCACTAATAAAACATGCATTGCTTTTTTCTTCCAAGTGAGTGACGAGCAGAAAGTTCAACCTGGGTCGGCATTCTTGATACAGTTCATAATACGATACCGTCATGGGAACATGGGGATCCGGAAAAGGGTAACAACTGCAGCAAGAAGATGGGTTGGGGGCCGTTCACCAGAAATTGCTGCTGGGTTTGATCAAGAAGCAGCAGCTTCAGTGATAGCCAGGCTTGCTATTCACCGAGCTGAGACTTGTTTCGCTCGAGATGTTATCAGATGGTTGGATGACACATTGATCCGCTTTGCTTCCAAGTTTGGAGACTACGCGGAGGAAGATCCAACTTCTTTCCGCCTGTCATCCAACTTCTCCCTTTTCCCTCAGTTCATGTATTACTTGAGGAGGTCTCAGTTTATTGATGTCTTCAACAGTAGTCCAGATGAGACTGCTTTCTTCCGGCTAATGCTGAATCGTGAGGGGGTGGTGGGTTCCCTTATCATGATCCAGCCCACGCTTTTCCAATACTCCTTTGATGGTCCACCTGTTCCAGTCCTCCTAGATGTTCGCTCCATCTCTCCAGATGTTATCTTGCTCTTTGACTCATACTTTCACGTGGTTATTCATTACGGGTCCAAAGTTTCTCAGTGGAGGAAGCTTGGGTATGACAAGGACCCAAACCATGAGAATTTGAGGAAGCTGTTGGAAGCCCCTTTAATTGATGCAGAGCAGTTGATGGCTGACCGAGTTCCTGCACCAAAGTTTATTAAATGTGACCAGCATGGCAGCCAAGCGAGGTTTCTTCTTGCAAAGTTGAATCCATCTGTTACCCAGAATTCAACACACACTGACGGTTCAGATATTATTTTCACCGATGATCTGAGCTTGCAGGTATTTTTAGATCACTTGCAGGTCCTTGCAGTGCAAGGCTGATGAAGAGGAGCACTTTATATAGATTTTCGATTTTCTCGTCATACAAAGGTATTTTTGTGTATAGTTTTGAAGAGAAAAAGGTGTCTAGTTGTATTAACCCACTGTGCTTTTGATAACATGTCATTTTATTTTCTAAGTATCTGTTATCATTACATGATCGACAGTATCGACAAAATGGCAAATTGATGCTCAAATGACTTGAAATTCAACAGATATTAAACAAAATGGGCGATTGATGCTTGTATTTCTTCTAGGGTTCTCCCCTTGGTCTCCGGCACTAGCTTTGCTATGAACAAAACAGTTAAACCGGCTATGGCCGCGTAGAAGAAAAACGTTCCTGAAATCTTTCGAACAGTTATTAGTATGCAGAAAGACCGAAAGGGCACAGAAGAGAGGAGGGAGTGGATTTTATACCCACCTGCCGAGCTCCACTCCATCATAAAATTGAATGTGTAAGTTGTTATCCAAGAACAAGACCAGTACACCAAACTCAACAGGCTTCCGGCCGAACCCTTAATGTTTACCGGGAAAATCTGAAAAGAAACGTATCGAATCTTCGTTATAAAACTCGATTTCCCGTCAAGTTTCGGATAATCAGTTGGTAGAGCTGTACCTCTGACATAATAACCCACGGTAATCCTGACATTCCGATCAAGTATGTCGCACCATAACCCTGAATGCAACATCAATTAGTTCAAATATTCCCATTTCTCGAATGACTTACAAGAAGACGGAAGATGTGATCGGTTACATTGTACCAGCATGCCGATGAGCACGAGAACTGGAGTTCCTTTCTTCCACAGGTCGAGGTCCTGCCATGACGAAAAAATGTACTTCAAAGCACGATCAAACATGTACGAAGCAAACAGCAAATCAAAGTTTCGTTTGGGGAGAAACCTGAAAATAGAATGCCAAGCCCACAAGAAACAAACTCAAGCACATTCCGGCAGCAGAAACCTGCAAACATTACGCAACTTCGTTATGGACTTACTGGTATTCAACATCGAAAAGTTAGATTCTTTGCCTTTCTCACCATTAGAAGTGGTCGTCGTCCAGATTTGTCCGTCAAGAAAACACACAATGCAACAGAAGGTATCCCGCTAATAGCCAATGCAATAGTCCCGACACTACTTGAAAAATCTGCCCGAAAATGGACATGAGAGCATATTTTTCGTTATGTTGCCCTTCAACTGTATGAAGTAAAATAAAAATATCGTTTGATTTACCGGCATCCACAAATATAGAGCTTCCATAAAAAGCTGTCGCGTTAGCCCCCGAAAATTGTTGTAGAAACATCAGCCCGACACCAATCTGAGACGAATCAAATGTGTGTGCAAATGTCGGACACATCAGAAAAAGGGGAGGTGAAACAGTTGATGAATTCTGTAATTATATTTTCTTTGAGAAATTCATACGATGAGCGAGTCAGCATATCTCTTATGGAACAAGTCTAGCATACTTTCTGAGTGCTGCTGAAACATTACTGTATAATCCTGCCACGATAAAAGAGAACACGATCTCATTTCTTGTTTGTATGCCGAAAGAAATATCTTTAACCTTAAATTGTTGAAACTTGGAAAATTACCATGATATCAGCTGCTTCTTGAGATACAGAAGCCTCCGTTCCTCTAAGACGCTGCAGAGTGGCTTCAAGGTCTTTTTGTTTACCAATTTTGGCCTGCGGAGCTAAGTGTTTTAGTTACTTGAGCGCTTGATTTATTTAAACTTTACCAGACACGCACTCACCAGCCACCTTGGAGACTCTGGGATGAAAAATAAACCTATAATTTGTAGTAGAGTTGGAATTGCACCTGATAATGTAAAATCTCAGTGTTAAGTATTCCAGTAAATTTGTATGCCTAGATAAACTTAACATAAGGTTTAAGACTAGCGGGATAAGTTACCGATTACTGCAATGGTGCGCCAGGGTAGGGCGTTTCCAATGAAATAGAATAGCGAAAAACCGCAGCTAATGAACAACTGTGTAATTCATGAAATTTAGGCTAGTAATTAATGAAGAGGTAATTAGAGATTATCTCATATTCACAGTGATTTTGTTATTGACATCATACCTGATTAGCTGAAGTAAATGTTCCTCTGAGATCCTTAGGTGTTATTTCTGATATGTAGACAGGTACCTGTTCATGTATAAGTTAGAAATCATTTCAAAAGATTTCAGGAAAAAATATCTATACTTCGTAGGAAATTCGCACATACCACGTACATAATTATCCCCACGCCAAATCCCACTGACAGTCGTCCAGTATCCAGCCACCAAGCATTCTAACATCAAGTATTTAATTCAAGTACTGATAGACTCGGAAAAAAGGAGAAAACAAAACTTAAGTGACATTCTACTTTAAACTAATTTAAACTGCGGGGAGGGGTCTGAAATTCGGGTGCAGCACATTCGCTTTGGCCAATGTGGCTACGATCACATCTGCTAAATTTTAGTATCTAATCATACATATGGAGATGGGAGAGAGAAGAAACCTTGGCAAATGCAATAGTGAGCCACCCTGCAGAACTGAATATTGCAGAGACTCCCATTGTCTGTTTCATAAAATGAGCAGGGAAATTAAGAACAAGAAGTGTTTAGTTCATGAGATAATTTAAATATAAAGGGTAGTTAATACAAAAACTTACACCCTTACGACCGATCATATCCGCCATTTTTCCATTTAGTAATCCGCCAATCATTCCTCCTACTGTCAGTATTGAACCGAAAACTGAGTACTGCGTAATGAGAAGAAAGTTTGTCAAAATGCAAACAGAGAACTTCCCAAAGAATCTGAAACTTTTCTTCGGCATCCAAAATTTACGAAACCAAATCCATGTCTGTAAATTCCATAATGGGAAGACTTAATTGATGAACTTCATATTTAATACCCGAATCCCACGTGGGGAGACTAAAGAATTGCGTAATAGTTTAAATGATTTGGGGTATCTCAACCCACACTATTGTACTTACGGCAGCAAGAGTAAGGTCCAAGTCTTCAACGATCCCAGATTCAGCAGCTGATGAATATCCTGTCTGCAGCAGATCATTGTGATTAATGTTTATCAAGATTAAAACCGGAAGATGATTTTTGCACGTCCCTCTTATCCTCTTGTACTCCTCCCCTTTTTCAAGCACTTTGACTGAATTAATATGTCAAAGGAGAATCAAGGCACGGAAACAAGAGGAGTGCAGAAGGAGAAGATGGGATTGTAAATCACAATATTACTTACGGCACAGCCAGCAGAGAGAGATCCACAGAGGGCCACCAAAGTGCTTAGAACAACAACAATGGTGACTGATGGGGACCCACCGGGCATTGTTTCACTCCCATCAACTGCATCCCCATTTACATTACTGGACACGTCTCTTAGTAGTCCTTCTTCCATGGTTTCTCTATGATCCAAACAAATCTTATCTTCTTGTTAAGAAGGTGAAAAAATACACGGGGAAAAAGAAAACGGTTTGCAGAAGAATGAGAAATGCAGGTACTCATAAAAATGAGAAATGCAGGTATTCATAAAAACAACCATAATTTATTATTAATTCTTCATTATTCATTGGTTATGATTAACGAGTTTTTTATTCTGTAAAGATGTCTCTCAAATATTTTATTCCCAACCTTGCCTTTGGTTCAAACTTCACCTATTTGTTTCATGAATCATGTGTATGTATAGGTAGTTGAACTTGAATTTGTTCGTCCTACTCTATACATGTTTAATATATATCTAGTTCAGTTGGTGGAGTTTGGTTGGTAGGACGATTGAAGTTAAATAGCATTTTATCTGCCTGATTTGTGTTAAAATTCTAATGAGAAACTGATATTTTGGTGTGTAATCTATGGTAAAAGTGGAGAATGTTTTAGCCATTTAGGGAATTGCGGAGCAAAACGGTGCTGCTACTGCAGTGATGATTTCAATCGTTGACTTCAATAGGATTCCTCTATTTCTGTAATACAAGCTTAACTATGTCAAAGCTACCTACTCACTAACAGCTGTTTTCTTCAATCTAAGCTTTTCAACACATGCTAATTTTACCCTTACACGTATCTATAAGACAAAACTTCACCTAACTCTATTTAACATTTAAATTGAAAAGCTAGCCGTTGCTTTTTTTTTTTGGCCTTCCTGCTGACTAAGGCAAGATCAACGGCAGATATGCATTTAGTTCCAACACCTGGTTTTCTACCACTGAAGGCTTCAAATGGTGTCGTCTTGTGAAGAGCCCTTGTAGGGCTTCTGTTGATCAAATAGACAACAGTATTGACTGCTTCACCCCAGAAAATATATGGCATTTTCTTCTCATATAGAGCATGGATTTGGCCATCTCGACTATGGTTCTATTTTTCCAGTCTGCCACTATATTCTGTTGTGGAGTGTAAGAAACTGTAAGTTTTCTTTCTAGGACAATATTCTCACATAAATTCTTGAGTTCAAGCGAGGTATATTCATCACCTCTATCACTCCTTAGTTTCTTGACTCGAATCCACTCTGCAACACTACCATGGACTTGGAACTTCTTGACGATACTAAAGACTTCAGACTTGTATCTCATAAGTCAACCCAGCATATCCTGTGCAGTCATCAATAAAACAAGAGGAAATACCTGTTTTCACTCATAGTTGCAGTCTGCATTGGACCACACACATCTATGTGTTTGAGTTCAAGAGGTTCTGATGCTCTCCAAGACCTTCCACTCTTAAATGCTTCTCTGTGATGCTTGCCAATTTTACACCCTTCACATACTTTCTCTGAGTTCTTCAATTTTGGCAAGCCACTGACCATGCTTAATTTTTGTAGGTCATTTAAACTTTAGTAGTTCAGCTACCCATATCTTTAATGCCAAAGTTTGGTGTAGTCTGTAACTTCAGTTTTCAAAGCTATAGAATTGTGATACTACATCAGTAGTGGAAAGCTTCGATTTTCAGTCATCCCGACCCTTGTGACTGAGTTCTGGAGACTTCTATCATCAAACACTTCAACCATGTTGTCCCCAAACAACAGAAAATAATGATGATCATTTCACCAACAAATGGGGGTAAGGCTAGCCGACATTCACCTCTCCCAGACCCTACGTAAAGTGGGAGCCTTGTGCACTAGGTACGACCTTTTATTTCACCAACACTTAGTTGGTTTTCATCAAGGCCAAGTACCA